TCTAGATAATGTAGATGTACATGTTAGTAGAGCTTAATAACGGCTCTAAAATTTTTTGATAAATCATCAATTGATTTTACCAGTCTTCTTGACAGTGATACAAATTATGATGCAATTGTAGAAGTTGGTGAAGCACCTTCAAAAAAAAAGTACAAATTACATTCCTCTATTTTAAGTGTTCGATGCCCACTCTTTGCTAAAGAGCTGGAGGAAATAGGAGAAGACATTCCCATTAAACAGCTTATAAAGACGAATATTTCGATTGACATTTTCGACATTATCATAAAGTAAGCATTTTTTTTTTTAATAGTTTTTATCGGCATTACATCATCTAATACATAGTTCAAATATTTAAACAGATACATTTATGTGGTGTTTTTTCCAATCGACGATTTAAAGCAGTCAATTTTATTTGATTTATTGATTGCTGCTGACGAACTCGGTCTTGAAGAATTGGTCTACAGTATTCAACCATTTATTATTAAAAATTATTCTAATTGGTTGCGCCTAAATTTTTTTCGTGTAATCAGAATAAGTTTTGGACGACCTAAGTTTTTAAAGTTAAAAGAATATTGCAAAAATATTATTGCCAAGCATCCTTCTACCGTTTTTGATTCAATAGAATTTATTTCGTTGTCGGAAAATATTCTGATTGCAATTTTAGAAAATGATAATTTGCAAATGGCAGAATCGCAAATTTGGGATTATGTGATCAAATGGGGAAAAGCTCAAAACAATAATCTACCAAACAGTCTTGAGGAATGGTCTAGCGAGGACTTCACAACTTTGAAAAACACCGTACAAAATCTTTTGCGCCATATTCGATACCTGCAAATTCCTAGAAATGATTTATTCAACAAAGTCAAGCCTTATATTCAAGAGTTTGATCAAAAGATGTGGAGTGATATTGTTTGTACCATGATAGACCCGAACTATCCGACTTCGACCTTTCTGTCGCCTCGTAAAGAAGGTATTAAGATAAATTTCTTCTAATTATGAATTGCAGCATCACTGATTTTTTCTTGTCATCAGTTAAGAAAACCTTGATTAGATATGGATCAGATGTCGTTCTTATTCATGTGCCCTCTAAAAAATATCTGACTACAGAAGGCGAAAAGCATCCCGAAATCAACCAATCCATAGTAATTAATTATTATTATTTAGTTTGTCTTTATTGATAATTATTAAAATCGTTGCCTTATTTATGTAAGGTTGTATGCGATAATCCAAGTGAAAATTTTAAAAACGAAGTTTGGAGTGTTATTGGAGCAGATGGTTCGAACGTACGAGTAGGCGATGTTGTGCCTTTTAATGCTATTATTGAACTTAAGCATAAAGAAACTGGAGAGAATTTGTATTCTCATTATGCATGCACGGGAATGAAAAAGGACGCTCGGAAGCCTGGATTACAGCAAGGTTTATAAAGTTTTGATATTGTGTATTTTTATTATTACAGCATACCGAAATAGCAATTACATTATTTCAAATATTAGCAACCCTTAGTTCAAGTATAAATGCTGACAATGCATGGCTCGTCAAACCTTATAGCCCTGACTCGGTTAATGATGCTTCAGGAAATCTAATGAGTGGAGATGTCATAAGTCTTTTTCATATTAACAATAGTAAGCCGGCACTTTGTAGCCATGATGTTCTGTTAGATAACGGAACTCAAGAAGTGTTTTGTGATGGAGGTGGAGACGAAGAAGACCACAAGGTATTATTTTTGAATAAGTATTACATGGTTCTTGAAAATTTTAATCATTTACTACAGTACTACAGTATTTCTTTTCAGTGGTGTGTTCAATTAATTGACAAGCCAATTAAATATGGGTCAGCCGTAGTTTTTGTTCATGCGCAATCACAAAAATATCTGTCTACCAAAGGAAAAAAATATCAAGATGGTCATCGATATATGGTATTTAGCAATACGTGGATTTTAATTTATATGACTGTCTTGATCATGAATTTATTTGTACTAATATTATTAATTTGATAATATAGGTTGTCGGCACTGATCAGGAGATGAATTGTAAAAATAATTTATGGAGGGTTATGGGTGCTTACGATACGAATGTAAAAACAGGAGATCCTTTATTATCCAATACTATTGTTAGATTTAAGAACCTAGAAACAGCTGGAAATCTGCATTCGCACTCCATTCTCAATGGTAAAACCCCAATATCTAATCAGCAGCAAGGTATTTATGCAAACAAGCTAACATATCGTAAAAAGACATCTTTATAATTATGTATTTACATGGTTATTTCTAATATTTTAGTAACCATTTCCTTTTATGCTCATACCGATGATAATTGGATCATCCGAAGTTACAATCACACTCCTGTCTATAATTATTCAAAAGTCATATCGGATGGTGATCCTATCAGTCTTTCTCATCTTTCAACAAATGTATCAATTTCCAGTCATGATGTATTATTAGATGATCAAACTCAAGAGGTTTCTTGTAATGGATATGGACACGAGGCAAATAATAAGGTATAATTTCAAAAAAAAAAAAAAAAAAAAAAAAAAAAAAAAAAAAAAAAAACTTATTTATCATATTTTAATTTATATTAACATAATATTTAGTGGTATATTAAATTAGCTGATCTAGTAGAAAGGTCAATTTTGTATGGATCAAAAGTTGCTCTTATTCACGTATCCACCGGAAAATATTTGTCCACGAAAAAAGTTTATTACCCTAATTCTAACCAATATATGGTATGTTGTTGTTATTATGACTATTTTATTATCAATTCTGACAAATCTTTATGTGATACAAGGCTGTTTGCACGGGTCAAGAAATAGATTTAAAAAATGACATTTGGACAGTTATTGAAAAATGTGGTGAAAGTGTAAGAAACGGTGATCCTTTAAATTTCAATATCGATATTGGATTTAAACATCAAGAAACAGGCGGTATTTTACATTCCCATGATATCAAATGGGGAACCACTATAAAATCAAAGAATCAGCAGGGTACTCTAAAATAAATATACTGTACCTTTTTCACATTAAATTTGGCGAATTAATGGTAATTATTTAATATTTAGTATCCGTTTGGATGAAAAGAAACAATGACGATGATTGGCTTATTCGACGTTATAGTCCTGATGCTAAATATGATGACTCGGGTCATTTAGTAGACGGCGATATTATCACTCTTTTTCATACCACTACCAATAACAAACCACTCCGCAGCCATGAAGTTTTGCTAGATGATGGAACTCAAGAGGTTATATGTTCTACACATGATCATGATGAAGATATTAGGGTATATGAAACTTTATACGTATATTTTGTTTACTCAACACCACGTCATATATTATTAAACAAAGTTTTTTTTTTTTTTTTTTTAATTGAACTTTAGTGGCGTATCAAATTAATCGAGTGATGTCAGAGCTATTTCTTGAAATGAAGTATGTGAACAGCATGTTACGGTTGCTTCCATAAGGAATCAATGCAACGCTGTCATTGATTTTTAAGTGCATAAGTTGAATTCGAACAAAGCAGTTGGTATACTGTATAATGCATTGAATTATAGCACTGCGACTTAATAAATAAAACAAGTTGTTGTTGTGGTTTTTATTTGTTTATTTTATTTTAATAAATTATAGACGTGGGATAATCACATTGCTATGATTAATAGCATAATAAAAATTAGGATTGCCATGGTATACATTATTCTTACATATTTTTTTATGCAAGCTTACTTGTTTGTTTTTTACTCGCTTTTACAGTAACTTTTTTATTTAATTTGTTTATGGTATTCGCTTTTACTATAATGATATTCATAAAATATTTGTTTCGTTTCTTGAGTTATGATTTAATATACATATAATATTTTTAGATCATGTGAATTCTTGTGTTCCTGATTTTTAGTTGTACACTGTAACAATCTTTTATTGTATCATAGTATCATTGATTCTAATCAATATATTTATTAATACTATAATTTAATATATAGTATATTAGTATAAATTAATATACATTTGCACTGATTGAGATATTGTAACATTTGTTCCAGTGTGGTTTTGTCAGAAAGATTTAGAATATCCTTAGAGATATTATAGTTGGGCAGTTGGGCTTTAGTTTTGTGCCTTTTGGATTTGACAACAGGAGGGTAGCAATCACTTCAGGTTCAATGTTATGAATTTCTTTGGATAGGATCCTGAAAACTTTTCTAGTGCATAAAATTAATTCCTTATTTGACACAAATTATCTTTGCTTTTGTTTGACCTTTCTCCTATAAGTGATATAGGGTTGATTATACTAACTAATGTAAATTTCTTCTTCATATTCAGATTCATTAGATTTCTCCTCAAATTTCTCAATGGTGAAATAGTTCAAAGGTTTTCTGAATCTGGAGAAGCTTGCTAAAATTTTTTTAAACATACTGTATATTCTTGATTAGATATCCTGATTTATTGCACCTAAAACATACAAGTTAAGTAAAGTTAAACTTATTAGTAAGATTGAAAGTAGGTTGTCTTGGATAACTGCCTTGTTTTTCTACTTGAGCAAAAAGAAAGTTCAATTTTTTAGTCAAATTCAGTTGAAGCTTTTCAAACTTTTTGATAAAAGTAACAACAAAATTCTCAGATTTCAAAAAAGCCATTTTAAAATTCCTTGAAATAAAAGCAATATTGCATATTTTCACATCATTATTTATATCCTGACTATTTTGATAAGCTATTACAAGTTTATATATAGCAGCTATATTATTAGAATTGTTCATTGAGACAATTGAAGTCAAGTGTAGTAATGGTTCCTTAATATAGTAATGGATTTATTGACTTGAACTTATATTAACTTCAAGATTGACCTTTTAAAAAGTTTTTTAAAAGTAACATGGTAAGTAATCTCAAATTTGATTGGTCTTTACCTATGTTTTTCAAAATCACATATTTATTTATTGACCTATTACTAGATACAAAACTGTTTTTTGAATGCAACAAAAATGGCCTTCCATTTCATGGCATTAGTATCAATACTATTATTTATAAAGTTGGTTATTCACTTTATCCTAAAGGTGAATATTGAATATATGGATAAGTATTTGTCATTCTATTAATTAATCATAATAGTATTTTCAAAAAAATATATCAAATTATAGGTTCCTGGATTCTATCATCAGAAAGAAATTCCACTTATAGTATATTGAAGTATAAGAACAAAAAATATCATTCAAAATAATCATAGATATCCTTGAGAATAACTATTATTATATAGATATATATATTATTAAGAGAGATAGAAATAGGAGATAAAATAAAAAAGAAGAAAAAGTAGAAATAGAAAAATTAAAAAGTGATTCAAGATATAAGAATTTATTGAAAAATAAAAGATTTTTGTAATAATTGTAAGTTTTGAATAGGTACAAAACAAAATGATCTATTCAAGATATATAATTAATAGATAAATTAGATAGTTTAAAGAAAATTAATAATAAAAAAGTTAAATTGTATTATAACAGATAAAAGTTTTAAATAAATGTTATCAAAGGAGTAAATTTGTATATATTGGATTGTAAAAATTAATTTTTTAATAATAGTGGATTCAAAGTAAAAGGTAAAAGCAAAAAGAACTTGATTAAAATAATATTGCATAACAAAAGTATAAGAAATAGCAATATAAATAGTTAAAAAACTCTTTTCACTGACCCTTTGACCACACACAAAAAAGATATTCACAAGAAGTTTTTATACTTCCTTGCTAATAAAGTCTTAACACTTTCCTTAAAACAACTTGAAGT